ATCAATACGAAACTAACGATTTAAAATTGGCTCACTACTTGACTAGCCTATTGGTCCCAAGCAAATCGACTAACGTACCCCATTCTAGTATAAATTCCAGTACTACACTATGTTTGTTTTAATTCGCTATGAAAATTTGACAGATAAAATGAGGGGTTAGTGGATTTTCCTATGTTTCGAGGGGTGAATCGATTAGTTTGGGACCGAAGATAGTACCAGAGCTGAGCCAAAAAGTTGAGCTCGTTTCTTCGGGATCTTCTGGTCTTAGAGTTACCTCTATGCTAAAACGCTGGACAGACTATGGCTTATATCATGTAATATAGGCTGTCTTACAATGAGCACTCATTCATTGGATTTCCAGTGAAAACTAGATGTATGAGTGTCCATTGCAATACAGCCTATATTACATGATACAGCCATAGTCTGTACGGGGTATAAAGAAGGTTTGTTTATAAAAAGCTAACATGCCCTTTTCATATGATGTTCTTGATTAAATAGATTAGTGACAGTTCTTTGAATACCTCACTAGGAAGAGTTGGCACCTATGAGCGCCCACAAGCTTTTTATGGTCACGAATTAATACTCTGAAATGATACGTGTTTGTCTGATTCTGTTGGAGTAAATCGGTAACGCAGTGTGCTGATCACCTCCTTGGAGACCGAACGTCACCCCTAGCAACCTAAGTTTTCTTAAATAAACAACGGTGAAAAACTTTTCATTCCTGTTCAAGACTCCACTCAAGCTAGTCGTTAAATAAAATCCATTCTACTTTTAAACTTTGCTGTTCTGGTTCTTTCTAACAATCAAGAGGTTATGGGCGACTCACGCAAGGATTTGGTCCACGGGATCCCGCAGTTCTCGGGCACCGGTTTCGACAATTGGCAATTTCGAGTGGAGAAGTATCTGAAGTCCGTGAAGCTGTTGGATATCATCAAGAAGGATCCTCCGATGGAAGCGGCCGAGCTCACGAAGTTCCAGGAAGATGACGGTAAGGCGGCGTTCCTGCTGACGTCATTTGTTCATGACGATTTGCTGCATTTGGTGCGGGACAAGGAGACGTCCAAGGAGATGTGGATGAGCCTTGAATCCGCCTACGCCAAGAAGTCCGTCTCGTCGCAGACATTCGTCAGGAAGCAACTTGCGAAGCTACGAATGATGGAAGGTTCGTCTGTGAAAGATCACCTGAAAACCTTCGAAGAGCTGATCCGACAACTGAAGCTGGCCGGAGCGAAGCTTGAAGAGAAAGATATTGTGTCCCAGCTGTTTGCTACCCTTCCCGAGTCATTCGATCCGTTGGTTACGGCACTGGAAAATCTAGGTGAGGAAAACCTAAAACTGGATGTTGTTCGCGAGCGCCTTCTTGCCGAGGAGCTCAAGAAAACCGACCGGGCAGCGGATTCCTGCCAAGAGAAACCTGCAGCATTCCAAGGATCGAAGCAGAAGCCTGGTAAGTTCACCGGAAAGTGTAACCGTTGCCAGAAGAAGGGGCACAAGGCCAAGGACTGTCGTGTGAAGTTGAAGACAGATGGGCGCGCTGAAGCTAACGCTGCTGTTGGAGGTAAGGCGGTGGCTTTTATGACCGGGAGATGCTCCCAAACAAAGGACGAGGGAGCAGTTTCCTTTAAGCTGGATTCCGGAGCCTCGGACCACCTTGTGAATGTGAAGCACTGTTTCGCCGACCTCACGAAGCTGAAGCACCCTGTCGTCATAAACGTGGCGAAGGATGATCAATCCCTGATTTCCCGGCACAGTGGCACGATCAACGGCGTCAACAAGGAAGGTAACTATATCAGCTTGAAGAACGTCCTCTTCGTACCAGATCTTCGAGCGAACTTGCTATCTGTGAAGAAGATGGCAAAAGCGGATCTTGATGTCACATTCACGAAAAAGGAAGCGATCATGAAGCAAGGTCGTGACCTGATTGCGAGATGTCCCATGCGGGGCGATTTTTACGAGCTCGATCTCCGTGTCGATACGGTGGCGGCCAACATGTGTGGAGCTGTGACTGGTAACCTGTGGCATCGTCGACTGGCTCATTTGGGGAGCAAGAGTTTGCAGACACTCGCGAAGCATGGCATGGTAACAGGTATTCCCGAGAAACCAGATAAATTGGATTTTTGTGATGTTTGTGTTCTCGGAAAGCAGTGCCGAGAACCATTCACGGGTACTAGAGTCCGTGCTACAAGACCTCTAGAACGAGTGCACTCCGATGTGTGCGGTCCAATTACACCAGCGGCTTGGGATGATTCTCGGTACTTCGTCACCTTTATTGATGATTACACGCACTTTGCAGTAGTATATCCCATCAAGAAGAAGTCCGAGGTGTTCCAGAAGTTTCGAGAGTACGAGGCCATGGCGAGTGCCGCTCTGGGACATTCGATTTCGAAGCTGACTGTCGACCAAGGGCGCGAGTATTGCTCCAATGACCAGCGTGATTGGTACGTTTCGAAGGGGATCCAAGTCGAGCCAACCGCAGCGTACACACCACAGCAGAATGGAGTGTCCGAACGGTTCAATCGAACAATCGTCGAAAAGGTGCGTGCGATGCTGATTGAAGCCCAAACTCCGAAGAATCTGTGGAATGAAGCGGTTCTAGCGGCGGTATACCTGACAAACAGAAGTCCAACCACCGCGGTATCTGATTGGAAGACTCCTGCGGAAATGTGGACTGGTCACAAGCCGGACGTTAGTAAACTACGTGTGTTCGGCTGTAAAGCATTTGCTTGGGTGTCCACGGCACAAAGGAAGAAACTGGATCCGAAAAGCAAGCCTGCTGTGATGATCGGCTATGCGCCGAACGCCTACCGCCTGTGGAACAAAGAGAAGAAGCAGTTATTCCTAGCCAGAGATGTCAAGTTCGATGAAAACAGTTTTCCGTTTGCCACCCAGATCCGTGACGAAACTCCTTTGGTTGTTGCTCCGTACGAGTTCGAGGATCAAGATGAGGAAGACGTGCAAACCCCTGAACAGTCCGTTCAACCCGATGAGCCGCTGGTGGCTCAACATGACGACATCCTGACTGATGATGAAGAAGGCGAGGTTGAAGACGACGGTGTTGAAGAAACCGGAGCGCTCCCTTCGCAACTAGACCCCGAGGCGCAGCGAACGGGAGCGCAGACTCCCCGGTAAGTTGAAAGAATTTCTGGTTGGAAAAATTTTCACTGCCGCGCAATCCCATTCTGCAGATGTTCCCCATAACGTTTCCGATGTACTATTTGACGGTTCCGTTGGACGAGATGAGGCCGAGCGTTCGATCTTCGATGTCCCGGAGGCGTACAAGGAGATCGCTGGACGAGCCGACGAAGCTCTTTGGCAGCAAGCGGTCCGTGAGGAACTGCAGTCGCTAGCGGACAACCATGCTTGGCGATTGGTGAGATGCCCTGCTGGTGTGGTTCCGCTCAAATCGAAATGGGTCTTCCGAATCAAGCCGGACGAGCATGGCGAACCGATCCGTTACAAGGCGCGGTTGGTGGCGAAGGGATTCCAACAGAAGCCCGGAGTCGACTACAACGAAACATATTCCCCCGTAGCAAAGTTAGCCACGATACGAACCATTCTTGCTGTAGCAACCCACCGAAGGATGCACGTTCACCAACTCATGCAAGCTGGATCGATCGCTGTACGGACTCAAGCAAAGCCCCCGCTGTTGGAACAACAAGCTAAACGACCTTCTACTGGATTTCGGCTTTACCCGTTCCCGGCATGATTACTGTCTATATACCAGGATCGACGATCGAGGGGGGGTATACATAATCATCTACGTGGACGATTTGCTCATTGCTGGCGATCGACTGGACCTGGTGAAGGAGATCAAGCGTGCTCTTTCCAAGAAGCTCCAGATGACGGATTGCGGCGTGGTTAATCATTTCCTTGGAATGAAGATCCGATACGACCGCGCCACCGGATGCATGTACCTGGCGCAAGAAGCTGCTGTGGAACGTGTGCTGACGAAGTTCGGCATGCAAGACTGTAACCATGTCAAAACCCCAATGGAGAAAGGCTGTTTCCTGCCACCACAAGCTGCGAATCCTGTGTCGCATCCATACCGTCAATTGCTGGGCAGCCTGATGTATACGATGCTGTGTGTTCGACCGGACATATGCTACGCTGTTGGATACCTAGGGCGCTTCCAAGTTCAACCTGATGAGGCCCACTGGCAAGCCCTGAAGAGAGTGGTCCGTTACGTGAAGGGGACGAAGAACTTGAAGCTCCAGTACAAGCAAAACGACGACGCCGAGGCACTTGTCGGGTACGCAGACGCTGACTGGGCATCGGATGCTGAGGATAGGAAATCCGTTAGTGGCTTCGTCTTTAAGGTCTTTGGGAACACCGTGTCTTGGGCAAGCCGCAAGCAACAAACCGTTGCACTGTCGTCGTGTGAAGCCGAGTATGCAGCTTTAAGTGCCGCGGCCTCCGAAGGGCTGTGGCTGCACGGAATCCTTGAAGACTTGAAGCAAGTTCGACCGGACACGGCATTCAAGGTGTACGAAGACAACCGTGGGTGCATTGCAATGGCCACAAACACCGAAAGCAAGCGTGTCAAGCACATCGATGTAAAGCACCATTTTTTGCGCGACCATGTGGCACAAGGAAGACTTCAAATCGAAGCAATTGATACAGCAAACCAAATAGCGGACACGTTCACCAAGCCCCTGGAACCTGGACGTTTCCGCAAACTGAGGACCCTCCTAGGACTGACCGATTCAGGGGGGGTGTTGGAGTAAATCGGTAACGCGGTGGCTGATCACCTCCTTGGAGACCGAACGTCACCCCTAGCAACCTAAGTTTTCTTAAATAAACAACGGTGAAAAACTTTTCATTCCTGTTCAAGACTCCACTCAAGCTAGTCATTAAATAAAATCCATTCTACTTTTAAACTTTGCTGTTCCGGTTCTTTCTAACCATCAAGAGATTCTGATATAAAATAGTCACCATATTCGAAAGTTATTTTGTTTTTATTTAAACTCATGTTCATCTGTTTCCCTCTCTCTCTCATCCAGAACTATCAACTCAAGCGCCACATGGAGATCCATGACAGCACCTACTACATGTGCCCATACTGTGACCGATCGCCGCTGAAGGCGAAAACCTCTGTCCGCAAGCACCTGAACACGGTCCACCCGGAGCGAGCCCCTGCGAAGGAAGAAATGAACAAATTCATTTCCACGCTGGTCGTCAAGGACGAAAAGATCCTCCGAGAGCTGTACGCCAAAAACGAACGCAAGATTAGGAACAAGTGTGCCAAACTGCAAGCGAAACAGCTGCAACAACAGCAACAATTACAACAACAGCATCAACAGCAATTGCTGGAGAACAGTGTCGGTATTGCTGAGCAGCATCCAACTACGGTCGCAACGAGCACGGCGGTCAGTCACGTGGCGGCGATACAACAGCAACAGCAACAGCATGAAGCGCCAACTGAAATGGCGAATGTTGCTCCGGAGGAGATGCTGAATGCCTACCAAGGCAGTCAACAACGATCGGGAGGCGGCGAACAGCGGAACGGTTCCGAGCAGCATGTCTTCCAAACGGTTGAACAGATGAATCGGCATGGAGAACGGGTTAGTGCAAATGGTGGTTGTAATGGTGAGATCAAGAGCGGAGAGGAAGAAAGTGCTCTGAAGCGGAGATCATCCGAGGAACAGGTAAATCAAGGTGGTCAAGGTGGTAGTAGTTTAAGGGAGGAAGGTAAGAAAATCAAACTCGTAGATGTTAATGGGTCGGAGGTGCGGTACATCGCCGCGACAACGATGGGTGGCAATGGGACACTGAAATACCTTCGGAAGAAATCGCTGGGTGTGGGCGAGGGCAGCAGTAGCAGTGGTCACTCGATGCCACCGCCGGGCAGCAGTAGTGGCTCCACGATGGACAATCAGATAATGCTGGACAATCTGTTTGATAACATTTCGATCGAAAACTACGAGTTTGACGATAACACCTCCATTCAGTCGTACAATTTGATCGACGAACGGTTTAAGACTTCGTTCGATCAGATCCAGGAGAAGCTGGACGCCGAGCTGTCGTTCGACGAGGAACAGCTCAAGTGGCAGAACAATCTGATGACGAACGATTCGTCGAACGAGATTGGCGACAAGCTTCTGAACGTGGAGGAAAATATTATGCTCATTTAGATGCGCTGAGAGAGGAAAGTGAGATGATTCGAGGAAGCAGCGGTTTTTGATGTCGTTTTTCGTTAAAACCGTTCAATTTATTTGCCACCCTCCCCTCTTATTTATTAGCAACTAAGGGTCTATGAAGAAGTCAAGTGCTATTTTTTTTTTTCTGTTTCGTTAACCGGCTTTAAGTGAAAATGAAGCACTATTTATTATGCATATTTAATGTAAACTATTTATTGTAGTTCTAATGTTCGCGCGTGTGTGTGTGTGTGAGCATGTGTGTGGATGCAGCAGGTTCGTGTGGACACAACGGAGACTAAGCTATCCGGGCGTTGATCTAATCCAAACTAGGAGTAAGCAGAAAATTCACTATATACACCTCCTACAACACGCCCACTAAATAATAACAGATAAGTTCTATTTATCTACGGAGACTTTTACTTCCCTTCTTGCATAGGATTAAATCGAAATTATTGGACCGTAGCAGCTAGAGCTAGCCAATCGTGCGAAGTAGTTTCCAGAGAACGAAGTTTGTTTGTCGCGAATAGCAAATACGCACATTATTGTCCCAGATGGAGCAAAGGAAGTTCAAGAAATGCAGCAGGAACTGCACAAATTTATCGAATTTAGACTAATTTATCAAAATTGTTCATTATTAACCGATTACGATTCGTACGTGTTTGTTGTAGAATTTTCGAGATGGTTTTTATCAAGACACATTTGTTATTATTTTTCCTTTTTTGCCGTAACCCTGGACAGTAATTATCCGATTTTATCAGCCCCTCCGCGCATCAGACGTTTATCTTTCAATAATTTCACATAGCCCTTATTCCAAATATTTCTCATTCATCTTTAAGAAGGATGTTTAAGATATTTAGACTTGGTTCAATGAAGCCACTGAAAAATGCGCATGATTTTTCAAAAAGATGACTGACCATATCGGGTCATTGCTGTACATTGATTAGGGTGACTTTTAAGACCTACAAGATTTTCTTTTCCAAGTCCTAGAACTTTTTTTTTTCTCAAATGATTTTAATGTAAAAATTTACCTTTTTCCGGCTGCTGATTTTTTAGACCTCGAATTTTTGTTTCAGGTCGTGGAATTTCGCAACTTATTTCATGATACAGAATATTGAAAAAAAAAAATGATGCTGGATCCTCATTTTTCCCAGATCTCTAAATTTTAATGTAGGAACAATCTTAGTTTGGAAAGTTTTGAACCTTTTTCTAGGTTCAGAATTGGCACAGAGAACAGACGTTGAGGCTCGAACTAAATTTCTGTTAAAACGTTTCCTATTCGACTAATGCGCCACCAACGCTGACTTCCCAGGGCCCCAACTTACACTAGACACTTAGTTCCGGTAGCGCCGAGTGGTAAAAAATTGATCTGTTCTCTGTGAAATAGGCATTTTTTAATAGAAACTAAGCGATCGATTCAACCTCTGGTGGTGAATAAGAGAACGTAAAACGTTGTGAGCAGAAATAATATTTGCCGTGAGACATTGGACATTTTTCACTATTCCTGATAAATTGATTCATCTGAGATGCTCCAAAACTTGATCTACAGTTGAAAAATTTAATTCTGTATCGTTTTTGTAAGGATCCTGCTGGTGTTCAGGAATATTTTTGTTGAGAAAAATGGAAAATTAGAATAATGCCTTAGTGGTTATAATCTTCCGGATTTCTTGTGCGTTGAGGTACAAATCAGTTCAGATTTGTGGAAAATCGTAAAATAAGACAATTACCTATGGAAATTGGCAAGATTTTCAATGAAAATTGGTTGTTTGCGTTTATTTGCGTTATTAAAAATCGTTATTCTGAATTTAACAAACGGTTTGGTTCACGTTTGCTTTCAAGCTCGCATAGCGCCCTCTGCATTGGTGGTGCATTGAAAAAGCCTATTATGATAAAAAATTTCCAAATCTAGAATCTTCTTTTTTTTTCCTGGAAATTGCCCAAAATCCTTTACAATTTTTTGCAGTTGAGGATGTTAAAGTTGACAACAAATCGACCGTCCTATGGGGTTAAATAGCAACCAGTATAATTGCAGCTGTCCGAGGAACGTAGTTTGGCCAATGTGGTTCTGTGAATGCCAGAGTGAACTTGATTTTGAATTCTCAAACGCATGATGGGTTTGGGCCCTTGTCAGAAATTTGCCACTTCTCGGGAGTACTTGGAGCATGCCTGAATCCACACACGCTAACTTGAAAATTCGAACACATAAAACCAGATATTTCTCGGGATTGATTTGACGTAATAAAAATGTAACTTACTTTCATAAAAAAAATTACATGACTTTCTTTGGAATTCTCGCCATTATCTGCCGCACAACCTGGTCAACCTTAGCGGCCTTTTTACCAACATCGAGCCATCTGTGCAGCGTCCTGCGTGGTCTTTCCAGTTTTCGTTAACTTCCGCTTGATAATTGCCCAATACTTTTAGATTGGGTGGAATTGCGGGCAGTTGGGTGCATTGATATCATTGTCGGCGAAATCCATCTTATTGTCGCGGTATCACTGTAGAATCTCTCGGCCAGAACTTCAGGGGACATCACCCTCCTGCGATCACGGAAGCGCTCGAGAACATTATTGCAATTCTCATGTATGGTAGGGCAAACTACCTATCCATGGAGGGACTGTGCACCAACGAAATCAAGATGGTCAGACTAATGTTTCACGTGCATTTATTGCTCCCCCATAGGTCCGACACTTTTCTCCTCATGACGCCGCATGATACTTCAACTCACTCCTACCAATTCTGTCTTCCCTGCATCCTCTCCCTAATCAATCCATCTTTTCTTTCTAACTATAATGTCTTCTTCTGGTGAGTACTCACTTTTCCGGCCGGGTGCACCCTTACCGCTGGTCGAGTCTGGCTGCTGGTGGCGAGCCCCGTCGCCTCGATGGCACAAACCTCACAGGGCTCCACCTCGCTTGAGGGTTCCACGTGCGTTGCGGACTTCGATGCAAGCACCGTCGCACGATGATAAGATGACTCTATCCGATGAGCAGCTGAAAGCCTATAACAGAAAAAGCCCTGGAACGACTTCCGTTAGTTCCAATGCGACGGACCTCTAGCATTGAGGAACTTACTTCATTTGAAGACTTCGGGTTTCGAACGCAGCTATTCACCGCCGTCAGGCACTGTCTCGCGTCTTGCTATCGAGTGGTTGATCTGCGTTAGCTGGTTGTTGCGCTGATGGTACGTTCGAGGGCACGTTTTGCCGTCGATTTCTTTTTTCGTGCGTCTTGACGTTTCTCGTTGCCAGTACGTGTGGTTGGTGTGACGAAATCTATACCAAGAAACATATCAAAATGGCTTCCAGCTATTGTACGTTCACAGTACCCACCTTCAGCACATCGCAGTCTCCGAGAGGGCTGTTTTCGTTCCGGTTCTCTTAGGCTGTGAACCATTTGCCGAGTTAAATTTAACTCGTGGTTAAAAGTGACATTTCGAAAGTTATTTCTTATGTTCGAAAATCCCCGTGCTGTCGATCGACCGGTTTTCGAGCCACGGTTGTCAAAATTTAACTTCTTGTCTGTCAGAAATAACCATGCTCGGATAGCAGGGTTAACCGATAACTTTCCATCTGTCAAATTTTAACCAAAAGTTAAAAAAAATTCGCCAAATGGTTCAGAGCCTTAACCGCTGCTGGACTTCCCAGAAACCGTCGGATTCCGATCGAAGCTTTAACCACTACCGAAACAGCAACCCGCGCGACGATAAATTGCGATACGCACTCTACTCGCACTCGCGACGACCAAAAAAAGGACTGTTCGACTGACACCGTTTCTTTTTTGCGTGCTGTTTGCACGGCAACCTTTCCACTTCTGTCTTTTGTCGAGTCCAATGCGGGTTGGTGAGTGTGTGTGTGCGTGCGGAAACGTAGTCAGCAAAATCCCTGAAGAATGGTGTTTGCGAAATAATTTGCGATCTTCGTTCGCTTTCAAGCGATGCGTCCCATGTGGCATAGTTTCACTGCTGCACGTTCGATCGGATCTACTCATTTTATTGTGTTTCCGCGACCAGTTTAGTGCTGACCATAGGAGCAATAATACGAACCAAGCTAAAACGTAACAACATCTCCCACGGTAGAAACGGCAATTTTCAACATTTTCGCGATTTTTCGAATTGATCACGTCGGGTTTTCGACGTGGGTGTGCAGGATCAATTTTCTTTTCTCGTCTTCCATCTAGTACAACATTTTTAATACTGCTCGTATCGAGACGAAACATTCACCATTGGAACACGTGTACTTCCAAAACAAATCGCTGTCAAAACACTTCAAACCCGATCAGATCACTAGAGGCGCTGCTACAGAATAAATAAAGTGTCCAGAATCTAAGTGGACCAGACTTTAAGACGGATCGCGGTTACTGTTTGAACCGGAACATTCTGATTTCGCAGCAGCGCTTAAACTCAGTGATGCTGAATGGTGCTTTCGGAAGTGATCTGGGTAAACCGAGAGCAGTCCGAGTGTTTGCTCTTGGCGGCCAATCACCTCATCCAGCTTCCCAGCTGTTCAGCGTCCGCAGCTGATCGTGAGTCAGCATAAATTTCGATAGTCCTGCTTATCTTGGCTTAGCTTGGTCTGGTCTTGAACCTGTGGGACTTCCTCCTTCGGCTGTCTGCCATGCAGCGACATGTCACTTTTGCAAACAATTAAATAAATCAAAGCCTTCTACAAACTGGGCCATAACAATAACAACGGTAAAGGCCCACGCACATTAGATCCGGATCGGACGCGTTGCGGCAAAGTGACAGCTAAAGCTATTGTCTAACTGTCAAATTTACGTCAACGCAACGCAAACGGATCCAATGTGGGTGGCCCTTAAGCGTCTAATGTCCCAGATGAATCACCCCTTGGAGAAATTATGACAAGAGTAAAAAGTTGGATATTAATAACAGTTTAAAAGCTAGGGGTAAGACAACTGTACTCAGAGTTAATATATTTGCAGTGAGTAAATTTGAGTTACTCATATTTACTCAAAAACAAACAAAGTAGTCTAATATTTTTCATCAAATCAAGCATAACTTTTCAAAAGGACGTATGTAACATTGGATATGAAATTAGAAACATTGGATAGCAATGTCTATATGAGATTATTAAATGCTATTTAAAAGTTAATGCTATTTTTTTAAATCTGTTTGTGCTATTAGTTGGATAAAGGGATTGCGTTTTAGAGAATTGTGAAAAATTTCGAGCTTTGCAAACACGGACAATACTTTTGATAAAACAAAATCATACACCTTTTACTTGTGTACTACTCACATACACCCTGATTGATTCGTCGGTATCACACCTTGAGTGTTACATACACCCTGCATGATTCGTCTATTTGACAGAAGGGTTTTCACATACGTCAAATCAGATACACCGGTTTTTGTTTTGCAGTGAAGATACGTCGGCAGCTCTAAAAGCATTGAGGAATTGTCGGTTGGTTGATTAATTTACATAACTACTCAGAGTTGCGTAATAATCGATGTTAAAAGCGGAGATGAGAAGGTCACTGCATTATCTGCTGTCAGATGTTAAACGTTTTGTGTTTTTCGTATTCAGAAAGCGCTGGTCAGATTGGTATGTGAAGTTCAATATTAAAGTCAAGATTAAAGTGCAATTTCATTAGAATACTTTTGAAATAATAAACATCTTGCTCCCGGAAATACAAAAACAAACATACAAACTTGACGCATTTGCAGATTGATAGTGGTTGCTTTGTTTTTTTCACATACGACGCTTCACTGTGAGCGTATCTGCAGTTTTTGTGTTATCATCAAATTTTAACAGTTGAGTCATGTTGACAATAAAAGGGTGTATCAACACCATTTTAAAAACAATGAAAGAACGTCACATAGGGCGTTTATTATATATATTTTCCATAATGTATTACAATTTCAAACCTTGTTTTTCATTAACTCGTAGGAAAAGCATGTATTTTATATTCGGTTAGATGCACAATATCGATTTGTTTATTTTTGCGACTTACGTCCTTTTGAAAAGTTATGCTTGAAATAATGTTCAAACAATCCCCGTCTGACAGAATGTTTTGATTTCAAGATTTAGGCTGTGTTCCATTTGGTGAATTTTCACTTAAATTTGACAGATGGATAATTTTCAAATAAACCTGCTATTCCAGCAGACTTATTTCTGACAGACAAGGAATCAACTTTGACAGATGCTTTCTCGAAAATCGGCCGTTCAACAACAGAGGGA